TCCAAGTTCAGTTTCTTACTCTTCCAAGATTCTCATGTGGTCTTTCTGGATATCCCTACTGTGAGATTCTCCATTGTCCACAACCACGTCTTCCATGGGGCCATCATGAACCTCTCACCCAAGTCAGACAATGAAAGCAGGGCCTGGGCCAAGCAGAGAGACAAGCACAAAGGCCAGCAGAACTCCTGAGCTTGTCTTTTTTTTTTCTCCTCTTAACTTCTTAGAAAAGCTCCAAGACCATGGTGAAAATGGAAGAGTAACTGAGGACGCAGGATGTCTCACCTGTGTCTTTTTATTTTCTTTGCGACTGTACCAGCCCATCACCGAATACAATTGGCCCTCTAACCACAAGTTCCACTTCCATGGATTCAACCCACCACAGATCTAATATTCAGGAGGGAAATGCATTGGTGCTGAATATGTACAGATTTTTTTCTGGTCTTTAATCGCTAAACAATATACAACAATTATTTGCCTAGCATTTATAATGTATTAGGTATTAACAGCAATGTAGAGATGATTTAAATTATCTGGAAATATACACTTAAGTTATATGCAAATGCTATGCCATTTCATATAGAGGACTTAAGCATCTGACAATTTTGGTATAAGTGAGTGGTCCTGGAACCAATTCCCATGGATACAGAGGGATGACTGTAGTAAGATCCAGAACAGAGCTCCAGAGCCTCACCTCAAGGTAAACAGCTGGGGAGAAGGGAGTCAGCTTTCCAGCTGCCCACACTTAAGGTTGAACTCCTAGCCAGGTCTCTTTCGACCCTCTTCCTCCACAATAATGGAACTACATATTACAGCCTGTGCATTTCCCTACAGTTTGTCCCTAGTAATGTGCATAATTATCAATTGGAGATTGATCTTCTCTCTCTCTCTCTCTCTCTCTCTCTCTCTCTCTCTCTCTCTCACACACACACACACACACACACACACATACACACACACACACTCACACACACTCACACACACACATAAGACGGAGATTCTGAAACCGAACCAACCACTGACCAAGTCTGAGTATCAGGCACAAACACTTTCCAGCCTTCCTTTCTCTCCATGCCTCCAACTCCAGGTGCCCCAGGATCTAGTGGGGTAACCATACTACCAGAGTATCTTAAGTCTTCTCTTTGAAGGATGGACACATACACACACACACACACACAGAGTGACACTTATGTGAGACGTGTGCCATCCCCACATATCTTGTCAACTTCTGTTTTCTAGCTGTTCTATCCATAGCCTGCCAAATAAGAAGTCCTCAAACCTAACACCTAAGGGAGTTTTGAGGGTCTTACCAAAGGGAAGCACATTAGAAAAACAACTAAGATGAGGAATGGACCTTTCTTCTAGGCAGTTTCCTAAATCCACAACTAAAGATATAGACAAAACAGATAGCCAGTATCATTCTTTGGAAGAGAAACTAAACATCATCTTCATATCCTCCTCCTCATCCCAGCAACTAGGATAAAAGTCCTCCTATTTTTATTTTCTTCCAGCCCTCCTTCCTCTCAGTGCCTCCAAGTCCATGCTGGGGATTGAACCTAGGGCCTTATACATTCTAGGCAAGCACTTAACCACTGAGCTATATCCCAGCCCCTAGCCTTTCTCATTGTGAGCTCTCTTGCATTGAGCAAACATGACAAGAAAAGCTAATGCTTATATAGTACTAGCATGTGAAACTGTAAAAAGTTATTTTCATATTAACTCATTTCACATTCACAACAACTTGGTAAATATATTCTTATTCCTATTTTAGGATGAGGCAACTACAAGAGAGAGTTGCCATAGGGCTGGGTGTATAGCTCAATGGTAGAGTGCTGTCCTAGCATAAACAAAGCCCTGGATTTGATCCCCAGTACTGCCAAGAGAGAGAGAGGGGGGAGGGAGAGAGAGACACATAGAAAGAGACATAAGCGCATGCCCAAAGTCCCACAGCTAGGGAACATCAAGGCAGACAGCTAAGGTTGTTCCCCAGTGTCTCAGAACCTTGGTAGAAAACATTAGGTGCTCAAAACATGCTAGCCAAGATATATAAATAATATAGATGAGAGGAAGAAACAGAAATAAATGGGTGCGTTGATGTCTACATATTTAAATACATATAGGTCCCAAAGCATCTATGTAACCTCTCAGGGTTCAGATCCCAGTTCTGTCACCTATCTGATCGTGTGCCTTTGAGCCAGTCACCTAACCATTTTGTTTCTCAGTTTCTATATCTGTAAGATGGAGTAGTAATATTATAAAGTTATGTGAGGATTATATGCCTTAATATCCATATGCAAAAGTGCCTAAAAGTTTTTTTACACATAGCAAGGACTATATGAATATGTAATTTAAAAATACATTTTATCATTGGAAATAAAGTTATATAGAGAGGTTTTTCTACTAGGAATAAATGTGGTGGGTGACCTGGGCACTGTGGCACATGCATGTAATCCCAGTGGCTTGGGAGGCTGAGGTAGGAGGATCGTGAGTTCAAAGCAAGCCTCAGCAACTTAGTGAGCCCCTTAGCAAATCGGCAAGACTCTGTCTCTAATAAAATTTTAAAAAGAAAAAAAAAAAAAAGATCTGGGGATGTGGCTCAGTGGTTAAGCACCTCTGGGTTCAATCCCCAAAACCAAAAAAGAAAAAAATGTGGTGGGTGAACTACCACTTTCAGCCAAGATGAATCAACAGATAAGATTTACCTTCCCACTTGAAAAAAACAAAAAACTTTTGGTTTTAAAGATACTTGGCATCAAGCAAGGAAAACTGATCTGAGACAGGAAACAAGGCAAGCCCTATAATCGCCCCAACTTAGTGCCTCAAATAAGTGCAGGGAGGGGAAACCCAGGCAGAATCAGGCAGGCCCCTGAGATGAGATGTAGCTGAGATTTCAGGGTGACCAAGACAGCTGGAGTTCATAGGACAGGGTAACAGGAAAAGGCTGTAGGATTCAGGGAATCTGCAGAGGGCACTGAACTTTAGTCTTGAATGCATCTCACTGTTGTTTCTTTCCCAGTGCCTCTTGGATAGTGGGCACATGTGGCCCTAAGTGTGCCAGATGTACTTTAAGGGCCTGCTCCAAGAGCACCCTCAGCAGAGCTCCCAGCTGGGTTCAGGAGAAGGCTAACAGTCCTCCTGTGAATAGGACAGCTGCCTGATTGAAGAGATGGCAAGGTTGTGAGAGAATTGAAAAATAAGCCCCCCTTCGACCCTGGAAAATATCATCTCCCAAATTTGTGAGGGAATCTAAATGAAATCCCTCTTAAGCTGCCACTCAGATCTGGGCAGCGGGTGGGGGTCTTAATCCTTTTTCTATAACAAAATAGTTGGTATGAGGTAATTTATAAAGAAAAGATTTTGATTGGTTCATGGCTCTGGAGGCTGGAAAGTTCACAAGCACATGCCAGCATCTGCTCAGCATCTGGTGAGGAGGGCCTTCTTGCTGTATCATAAATGGTGGAAGCCATCACACAAACAAGGAGCAAGAAAGCCAAAGAAAGCTCACTTTTTTCCTATTGGTGCATTATAATTATAAAAAATAGTGGGATTCATTATGCCATCATATATACACATAATATAATTTGCTCAGTCTCCTTCACCAGGAGTACTTTCCTTTCCCTCCCCTTTTCCCTTGCCCTGATCTACTTGCTCTGCTGCTCCCAAGATAACCCATTAACCATTGATCAATGAATGGGGTTCATCTAGAGCCCTCATAGCCCAATCTCCTCCCAAAAGTCTTCCCACAAATCAACATTGCTATATTGAGAAGCATGTTTCCAATAAATGCACTTTTGGGGGGACACGTTTGAACCATAGGAGGTAGTAATTTCCAAGTGAAAGCAAGTTGAAAAATGTATGCACTAAACTTTACAGATGCTCATTTGCCTAGGTATTCTTGAGAATGAATGTTTAAGTTCCACTTAGGCCCCTTGTCTTCTATTCTTATTTTTCTCTATCCATCTTCTTCAAGCCCACCTTCTTACTCTTTCCTTCAGTTACCCTTCTTCCTTCCTGAGCTCAGCACCTGTCTCTTCCCTCAGTCTTCTCCCTAACTCCTTCTCCCACTTCACTAACCTCACCCTTTTTGTGAAAAGCAGAAGTTGAATTAAGGTATAGGTGTAGAATTCTAGTTTGTTTGTTTTTTTTTCAATCTGGCGACTGAACCCAGGGTACTTTACCACTGAGATACATTCCCAAAATCTTTTATTTTGAAACAGGGTCTTGCTAAATTGTTTAGGGATTGCTAAATTGCAGAGGCTGGCCCCAAACATGCAATCCTCCTGCCTCAGGCTCCCAAGCTGCTGGGATTATAGGCATGCCCCACCACACCTTGCTCAGTTTCAATTCTTGTTGTTCAGATATCCCCCCACTTCACCTCATGGCTACTTGGGCCCAATCCTGATCTCCAGGAAGGCTCCCAGATTACATAATAGAAATTAAAAATAAAACAACATGAATAGGTGTTCCATTTTAGGCAGGTCAAGCCTGAGTTTTAATTCCTTTCTCTCCAGATATAAGGCCCTCAGAACCACTAAAATGACATGTGGTGAGCTATATATTACCACAATTTCCTTATCACTCCACTCTATTCTAAGTGGGAGTCTCTGAAGCCAATTTGTTACAGAAAAAGAATACAGCTAGGTCATGAGAATATAGAGATAAGTGCCGAAGTCTGGCTGGTCTTGTATCAGGGGAATGCTTTTTGTTCCAAAACCGAGAGGATGATTGAACTCATTGTTGGTGACGATGGTATCAGGAATAGGGACAATGATGACTATGTGTAAGATCAGGAGGAAGAAGAGGAAGTTTGGAACTATTACCTTAGGATTGGGACATGACCTGAGAATTGATGTCTATCCAGAAGAGATAACTAGAAGAATATGATGAAGACCACGAAGAGCTGTATCCTGTCACCCACTCTATTTCCCCACTCCCTCCACCGCAGTTAACCTGCCCCGATGCCAAAAGAGCTTTACAGTCGCAACTTTCTTCCTACCTTACAGCTGGCCAACATAGTCCATATAATTTGCCAAATGTGCCCGACTCTTTATGTACGAAGTAGGGGGAATGAGCTCCAAACACCAAGAAGCCTTGAAACTCTTCTATGAATTGGACAGAATCAAGGAGCCACAAACAGCACAGCCTGGTGCCACTGGATGGAGTGGCTCAGGAGTAAAAGGTGAGAATAAGAAGACAATGGGGAAGGGGGGTGGCAAGGAAAGAAGGGAACTTTTTAATAGTGGCATCCCTTCCCCACACTGCCAGGTACTTGAAAGTTGAACTTCTCTATATTTTGAGGGGAAGGGAGCACAATGAAGAGAGATGGGCATTGTGTGGAGAAAGGAGATAAAATCATGAAGGCTGGAGCTGGCTTCCTCAGAGGAAACTGAGCAGACATATGGCAGTCATCAGAAACCACTAATGTTGATACTTTCAGTTTACCTAAGAGTAAGGGGTATAGGTAACAGATATTTAGTGCTTGATTTCCCTGTAATGTAAGTCTTGAACAAGTATAATTTGAGTAATTTGACTAAGTCTCAAAGACCCTCACAGACAGGAATAAAAGACCACAGTACATAGTAGATGTTTGGAACCTCACAGCACAAACAATGTCAAAACAAATGTTTAGTATTGATAGACAAAAATGCCAGGAGGGAATCTTCAACTAACAGGAGCAACTGGCCATGCCTCACTCCCAAAGTCTGGAGTTGCTTCTCCACCTTCTGTATAGTCCTTTTTCTTCTGGAGAAAGGCAGAAGACATAAACATCTTTGATAGATCACAGTGAACCTCATGTCCTGACCACTTTTCCTTTTCTGGCATTTTATCACAGTGGAAGGAGGAAGGCTTAGATAACATCTCTGCCGTTTACTGTCTAATCTTGGGCAGGTCTCAACCTCTTTGAGCTTCTCTTTCCCCCTAGATTAGAGAACATGTATCTGAAAGTATTTTATAAATCAAATCACTAAACAGATATTTGCTTTTTTATTTAGCTTCTAATTTGCCTTCCTTTCCCTGGGTGCTGATATGGTTAATGCCTTGTCTGCTAGTCCTGATCTCCCTAAGCATTAGAGAATTGTCTTAATAGTCAGCAGGAGTACTATTTCCTTACCAAGTCTTGGTGAATTTGACCCCTACTTCTAGTATCCAAGGAAGAAGAGGTAGTCTGTAGGCCAATAAAGGTCTTAACTAGCTATTTAGTAGCAATTGCTTACAGCTTAGTAGTGCTTTACAGTTTATAAAATGTATTTATTTCCTTATGTTTTCCTACAACAGTGGCTTTTAAACAGTGGTTTTTTGACCAGTTACTGGGTTTTATAATGAATGGGTAATGCCCAGCATTACTTTAAAATGAAATAAAAGAAAATAATAAAGCACATGGAGAATAGTAAAGGAAAGCACTCCTTTATGGAACTTTTAAGTTGTGTGTGTGTGTGTGTGTGTGTGTGTGTATATATATATATGTTTATGCTTCATTTCAGAAAAACGGACTTATTCTAGGTTGCATTGAAAACAAACACAGAACACTGCCCTATAAGCATCAAAGCATCATATATTAAATATTATTATCATCCTTATTTTACAAATTTAGCTACAAAATTCACTGCTACCTTTATCAAATCCTAGCACCATCACTTCCTCAGGGTAATAATTAAGTTTGCTCATGGAAGAAACTATGTCCTGTGCTTCTGGGTTTCACTACACTGAAGCTAAGAAGGAAAACTTCCATTCCTCTTCTAGAATTTTCTGGAGAAGATTTTGAAATTAAAATTTTAATGGAAAGCTAACTTAAGAAAAAATAAATTATTCCTTTACTTGGGGAGACCAAATGATTCTTCAAACCAGAGAAGTTCCTTATATAGCATATCAGTAAATATAAACAAACATTAAAACTAAAAGAAACAAATTAAGATAACCCCTTTCTTAAATAATAGGATATTGAAAAATAAATATTAGAGGTGTAGCTCAGTGGTAGAGTGCTTGCCCAGCATGCACAAGACCCTGAATTCCATACCCAGCAAAAAAAAAAAACAAAAAACTGTACAGTAAAAGTACACTTTTATTTCAAACATACCAGGATTTAAATGATGGTGGTGCCAAATACAGGAATCATACTTACCAGGTAAAAATTTCTCTCGTATGTAAGTTATATATATATAAACTGATAGTAATTGACATGTTCTCTTTCATTAAACAGTTCATAGTTTGTCACTTCCTTTCATTGGTGATCATACAAATTATAATAGCATGATTTAGAATTTGACTTAACTCATAATGGTTAACATTATAAAGAACTATTTTTGTATAATGGTCTACTTAGTGTGTATACATTGTAACCACAGCCAGGTGTGGCTACATAGAATTCTCTCTTGCTAGTTACTAATTCAGCACAGATTTTTTTTGTCTACTTTGGAAGTAATCAAGCTTTTCAGTTTTAGGAGCATTGTGGAGAGAGGTTCTTATTAATAGACTTAAGAATGTCAAGTGATTTTCAGGAATAGGAGAAAAAGCACTTCTCCCACACAATTGATATTAGCATTGCAGGGTATGGAGACAATAAAAGTTCATAAAATATTTATTGTTGTAATGTTTAAAAGAAAAAATGATTAATTTTCCATAATGTAGGAAAGTTTGGTCCTCTCTACTCCTGTGACTATTCCAGACCGCATCTTCAGACAGATTTACTGCATTATCTGAAAACTGCAACTGCACTGTGACCTTAGCTCTTAAGTACACTTAATCATCAATTACTCCTGCTCTCTAGCTTTATGGAGCCCACTATTCCATGAACTCCATATGTTTTGTTTTGTTTTGTTTTGTTACTGGGGATTGAACCCAGGGGCACTTAACCAGTGAACCACATCCCAACCCCCCATTTTTTTTTTTTTTTTTTTTTTTTTTTGATACCAGGGATTGAACCCGGGTGTATTTAACCACTGAGCCATATCCCTGGCCCTTTTTACTTTTTGAGACAGGGTTTCACTAAGTTGCTTAGAGCCATGATAAGCTTCTGAGGCTGGCTTTGAACTTGCAATCTTCCTGCCCTGGCTTCCTGAGCCGCTGGATTACAGGCAACACCCCACCCAGCTATGAGGATTTTTCTATATCAGCATTATTGATGTATTGAGTAACATCATTATTGGGGTAGGGGAATATAAAATACTTAACAGTATCCCTGGACTCTGTCCAGTAGATGCAAGTAAGCACCCTACCACCATTGTGAAAACCATAAAAGTCTCCAGACACTGTAAACTGTCCCCCTGTGGGGTCACTGAAAAATTATCCCCAGTGGAGAACTTCTAATCTAGATTTAAAATGTGATCATACCCAGTGCATGGCCAGGTGTTCAGAGTGTTCAGTAGAATGACAATCTGACCTAGCTGATACCTTATTAACAATAGATTTAGCATCAGTGGATTAATAAGTGTAATGCACTCTTCTACCAGTTCTTGGAATGGATGTGGCAAAGTCAGCAAACTTTTTTAAAATGTTAGAGCTGTTCATGTCACTTCCATTTGAGAAAACGAAAACCGACAGATAAAGCAGTACACAAAAATTAAGATCTAGAAACTAAGAGTAATAAAAGGTAATTGCTTCAGATACTCCTCAATTTCAGTAGGACTATAGGGCATTCTTTAGTTCTTTTTTGTTGTTTAAATATTATGCAGAACCAATAAGACCATATAGCCTCCCTGATTTTGTCATAGTGGGAAGTGACCCAGGACTGAAACATACATCAGCCCTAAAGCTCTTCCTTAAAACCTAAGGCTCTGGAAGGGCAGCAGAATAGAATAGACAATATGAATGATGTATGTACATTCCATGTATGTATTATATGTCAAAATACATTCTGCTTTAATGTATGACTAAAAAAATAAATAAATAAATCGTATGGTTAAAGCTCCTCTGATATACCTCCTGAAATCCCTATAGTTTGGGTGTGTTTATTTGTTTTGTTTTGTTTTGTTTTTTGTCACTGGTGGGGAACAAACCTAGGACCTTGTTCATGATAGGCAAGCACTTTGCCATTGAGGTCTATCCCCAGCCCTGCCCCCTTCTTTTTTGAATAGATCTCAGTTGGCCCAAACTGGCCTTAAACTCCTAGGCTTAAATGACACTCCTGCTTCAGCTTTCTGGGAAACTGGGATTATAGGCATGCATAATTATGCCTGGTTTAAGCATTGACTCTAAGCTGTTTCCCACCCCCAAGCATTGATTCCTTCCTTAAAATTTTTCCCATAACAGTGAAATTATTAATTATTGGCTGGTAAAATGAGGTTACAAGAAGGAGAAACAAGGACACTAGCCTTCTATATTAAATCTAATAGGACTTTCTGTAATAGTAAACCAGGTTAGTGGTACACACGTAATCCCAGTGATCTGGGAGGCTGAGGCAGGAGGATCACAAATTCGAGGCTAGCCTGGGCAATTTAGCAAGACCTCTCTCAAAAAATAAAATTTAAGAAAAGGACAGTGGTGGAGTAGAGCAGGGTGGCTCAGTGGTAAAGTGCACCTGGGTCCAATCCCCAGTACCAAAAAAAAAAAAAAAGAAGAAAAAAAAACTTTCTCCAGTGATCGAAGTGTTCTATATCTATGCTGTACAGTACAGTAGGTACCACTAGCTACTAGCTATATATGATTATTGAGCTAGTGAAAATCAGGAATTGAACTTTTATTTTTTTTGGTACGGGGATTGAACTCAGGGGTACTTGGACAGGGTCTCAATGTTGCTTAGCGTCTCACCACTGCTGAGGCTGGCTTTGAACTCAGGATTCTCCTGTCTAAACCTCCCAGGTCTCTGGGATTATAGGCATGTACCACAGTGTCCAGCTAGGAATTGGATTTTTAATTGTATTTAATTTTGAGTAGCCACATGATGCTAGTAGCTATCAAATCATATTAAATAGTACAATTATATGCCAACAAGGTAGGTTGGACTCTGGTTCTTCTTAGGACCCTCAGTAACTGAGCTCCTGGGTATGGAGAATAGCTCACCTCTACATTGAGAAGTGCAGGAGATGTAACAAAGTTTGTTATTGGTGGATATGCAAATAAGGAATAAAATGGCCCTTAAAACCTGTGTTCCCATTCCAAAGAAGGTAAAAAAAAAAATGGATGTCTTAGGGATTTGAATTAGAAATAGTCCTAAAAAACAAGTAGGCTCACCCCTAGAATGCTATCTCCCCTGCTGAGTTTCATACTTAGGTCTTCCCACCCTTTCCTTCATCTTAGAGGACTGGGATCCAAATGGGGGAATCAAGTAGCATAGAAAAAGATTCCTAGAGATCACATCCCCCTATTTTTTTTTCTGCCATTTTCTTCCTCTCTCTCTCCCCTACATCGAAGGATAAATTTCTCAGCAGATCCTGGCTGTTTAACCTAAGTGTGAGCAAAGAAGACTGGGTATTGTGGTGAGCCGTTCCTGTAGACCGTGGCCGCCATTAGAAGATGGCGCCGGCTTCCACTGTGGCCTGTGATAAACAACTCCTTTTATGGAGAATTGGCGCGCAATCCCTTACCACCCTATGAGAAAGATCCACGTGGCAGCTTGGGATTGGTATGCGGGAGGCTTTATTAGGCTGTGCTTGGGCGCTCGGCGGGGGGTTGCTAGAAGATGATACTTGAATCAAGGCCTGAATAAACTGCTGAAAGAAGAATCCTGTGTCGTGTCTTCCTTGCTGGCGAGGGGACGCGACAGGGTATAAGGACTTTTCAGCCCTTATACTCTTATAGTAGGCTAGACAGCCTCAAGGTTCCATTTTGGCCTACACTCTGCACCCTTGTTCAATAAGAAATTCTATGTCTGGGGAAGAAAGCTGAGGAAAAGAATCTTGGGTCATCTTTTGTTTCTCTACCACCTAATGCTGCTTTTTAAAATCCTTTTGCAAAAAAACCCACAAACTTGCCTTTTTCCCACACTTCTCATAGTCTTGTTTAGACTATACCCACCTTCCTGGACTAGCCCCATTTTTCCAGCTTCAGATTATACATCTGCTATGGTACCCCAGCTAATCCCATAGTTTATCTCCTAAGGAAGATCCAATAGAATGCCTTAGGATCTGCTTTCTCAGAGGCTGTCAGACCTCATATTTCTAAAATATGTAATACTGAGAAAAACCAAAGTTGTGTTTTTCCTGTACTTACAACAACCAACACTGAATATATCTATGATCTCTGGTCACAAAACTGGGGATTTCTCCCACCAGCAACCACTTAATTCAGCAGCAGATTCTCCAGTAGACACCAGTAGTGTCTCCAATTCACTTCTGATACTAACTACCTGGAGATAATGCCAGATCCCACAGGTTGAAGCTAAGTCCCAAAAGACCTTCCCAACTTCAGACACCAATCACCAAGTAAGTCATCACCTATACTTCTGACAGGCTACAAATGAGGGTCCCATAAGCCCTTCCTTATGTTCAATTAATTTGCTAAAGTTGCTCATAGAACTCAAGGAAACATATTTATGGGTTTATTATAAAGGATATTACATGGGATGTAAATGAACAGTCAAATAGAGGAGTTGCATAGAGTAAGGTATGTGTGAAGGGGTGAGGACGTGTCATGTCCTCTCCTCGTTTAGGCTTTTCTACCCTTTCCTTCATTTTGTTTTTTTAAATATTTTTATTTTGTTTATTCATTTTTATGTGGTACTAAGGATCAAACCCAGTGCCTCACATGTATGAGGCAAGCACTCTGCCACTAAGCCACAACCCCAGTGCCTTTCCTTCATTTGAGAGAAATGGAATCCAAACTTCATCAGGGCCACCTTCTAGAATCTCTAGGTGTTTGGATATCCAAAATTCAGTCAGTCCTTTCAGGTCTTAATGAAAGTTTCATTACATAGACATGATAGATTAAATCATTGGCCACGGGTTTATCAACTCAACCTTCAGCCCCTCTTCCCTGAGGGATGGGAGGGGAACACCAGACAACTGAAAATTCCAACCAATCACAAAGTTGTTTTCTCTGGCAACTAGTCACCATCCTAAAGCTATCTGGGGGCACCCCAGTCATCAGTCATCTCTAGCATACAAAAGACACTCATCACCCTGGAGACTCCAAGGATTTTAGGACCTCTATGTCAGGAAATATGGACAACACCACATTTCACAATACATATTTCACAATATCACAGATATTACCAAGAGACAGACAATAGCATCTGATCTCTTCACAAGATCTGTTCTAGGAACTGATCTGATGCCACATCTCACCTCTCATTAGGAGATATGGAATAGCACCTATATAATTGTACTCCCATGTTTCCTTGTCTTCAGCCTTTCTGTGTTTAATTCTTTGGGACTCAAACATTAGTTTTTATAGAAAGAGATCAATTCTAGATACTGCAGTAAAGTTGGTAGAATAGGGGTGAGAGAGATGGATTCAAAGAGATGTTCAACCCCTTAATTATAATGCTTTTAGTAAGCACTCAGTCTCTACCTTAGTGCAGGTGAGTAGGACTCCTGCAGCCTTCCCAAAGATCCTCCTGTCCTCAGCTCTTGGCTGGACTTGCTTCTTGCCTTGATTACTACAGTAGGTTTTGTTTTTGTTGTTGTTTTAGTACTGGGGATTGAACCTGGGGCTCTTTAACACTGAGCTACATGCCAACGCTATTTTTTATTTTGAGACAGGGTCTTGCTTGTTGAGGCTGGCAATCCTGCCTTAGCTCCTGAGTTGTTGGGATTATAGGCATGCACCACCATGCCCAGCTCTCCTGCAGTAGCTTCATAACTCTGCTTATTTCTAGTCTTATTCCTCCAATCTAGCCTTCACTTTAACAACATGGTAAAATCAAGTCTAGGCCAGGGAAGGACAAGACCAGAACACTAAAGAGACTCCCCAAAGCTTCAGGACAAAATCCAAAGTCCTTAGGAGCAAATGCCTTCCTGATCTCTACCTGATCTTTCAAAGTCAAAAATCTGAACCCATGGTGATTCCTCTGCTTGGAATGCTCTGCCTTTAACTACTTGCCCTTTACTTTGTAAGGGGCTGGCTATCAAGATTAAAATCTTCCAGAACCCAAACCCCAAATAGGGTGCTGAAAATGCAACACAGGAGCAGAAACAAACCAGTCCCTGATCTCATTGTACTCAGAGCCCAGAGGAACTCAACTGTGCAGAGCTGAGGCCAGTGACACTATAATCACAGTTATAAAAGCATGTAACTAGGAAACCTGATCTAGACCTGAGGTTCACAGAGGGTTTCCCAGAAGAGGCAACCTGAACTGAAACTCCAAGAAAGCTTAGATTTAACTAAGAGGAGGAGGGTGGGATATGGTAGGCCTTCCAGAATAATGTATATAAAAAGTATGAGAGAGAACTGATAAAATGGAGGAATAGGGCAGGTCCAGCATGGCCACAAAACAGTACAAGTTGCCAGAATCAGTCATACTGATTCTGTAGTATGACAGTAAAGATTTTGGTCATTATCTTAAAATACATGGGAAAGCCACCTACCCTGGTCTTTAGGTAACTCCAATGGAAATGAAAGGATGGGAGCTAGGTGGTGAGCAAGTAGCAGCTTAGCAGCTGCTCTACCTATCCTATCTCCAACACCCAAAGCTACAAGTGAAGTGGTCTGCAGGGTTAGGAAGACTCACCCCTAAGCTCACAATTGTCCTCCCTCAAAGGGAAGTGAAGGAGCTGGAGGAAAACTCTGAAAGGAAAGCTTGAATCCTTTAGATTGTCTGGAGAGTCCGTATCTTTCCATTTCTCCCTCTCCTCTAGCTAACATTGCCAACTCAATTCAGGTGGGCTACAGGACAAAACCTGCATTCCCCACTTGGCCTCACAGGAGGGGATGCAGCAACAAATGTGACTTACAAAGGGATGGGTATTAGAACAGAAGCCATCTGAGGTCTCAGATGAGCAGAGAGGAAAGAGATCCAGACCTGGAGGGACCTGGGAGGACCAGGCCAAGATAGATAGGATTCCATGGGCCAGATGTGAGCCAAAGGAAAGCCAGCCATCTTGGGAACCTCCAGCTCCAGAAAGGGGACCTGAGGTCCTTGAGCTTACATGTTGAACTTGGAGAAAGAAGTTCGTTTTGAACCCAGACTCTGGGTGGTACCTCAGTAACAACAATTCCAAGGGGCTCCCCAAATTTCAAGAAAAAGCAAGCAGAACTATTGTCCAGGTCCTTGGCCCCAACAAAAAATTAAGCAAGACACAGAAGTAACAGGCAAAGTGCAGATGTATTGAAGGTGAACATGGAAATAGCATTCTGCAAGTTATAACTGAGAGGGCAGAGTAAGAGAGAGGCTCAAGGCCCCTGTGTCTGGGAATTAGTGTTTTATATGCTGAGCTCTGGGGCACTTTCTTCCTTATGACCTGATTGAAAACCTTACCCCATTTGTTCCCATTGGTTACCATATGCTACCTGATTAGAATAGTATCCAATTTTCCCCCATTGGTTACTTCAAAAAAACTTAATTAGAACACTGTCCGCATTACCTCCACTGACTATTTTAGAATATCCAACCTGGACAGAATTTATCATGGGCCTTGAGTCCTCAGTGGTGGGAGTTGTCAAGGTAATGGGACTTATGGTAGATAAACAGGGACTTGATGACTCATTTCCCTGTCTTGTCTTCCAGTGGCTATTTCTTGTACCCTGCCTCTGCCATTTTGGCATCCCTGAACTCCTACCCAACAAAATGAGGGTTCTCAAAATTAAAAAAAAAAAAAACTGGAACAATATAACTGCTCAAGGGGTGGAGGAACATAGTTCTTGAGGGCTGCTCATAAGCAGACAGGAAATCTCTTGGGAATAGCTCAGTCTACACAGGTTGGTGAGTGTGGTCCTTGACTTCTCTTTTTAGGTTGAGTGCCCAGGGAGCCAGGGAAGTGTTAGTGTGATCTGGATCCTGGGCAGCAAACTGGTTATGGGGTGGATGGAGACAGGGGCCTTCCACAACCACCAGAGAAAAAAACACAGGGGTTGAGGTAGCATTAAGTATGGAAAAGTGAAAAGACAGCTATTTGGGAATGTCAAGGAGGCAGCTCATGTCCAAGTCTGGGCCCAAAGAGCACAGTCATCAAAACTGTGCAGGAGCCCTGCCAGGACTGCACAATAGGAGAGCCCAAAAGAGACTGACAGTAAAACAGGAAAGTTTGCAGCCAACCAGGAGAACAAGCAGTCTTCCTGGAGGGATCCTGGCATACTCTGCAAGCCTGGGCAGCCAAGCTTGAAGCTTTGCCAGGGTCATTGGCCTAACTTATGCTTTCCTGCCCCTAGGCAGGAAAAGTGTTTGCTAGTGTGGAGTATGTGTTTGCTATGTGGAGTGTCCCCTACCTCCATCTCATGCTCAGTCCTCTGATACACCAGTGCAGAATATTTGCACTGGAACATTATTCCCTCCATATACACACAGGGCTGTCTCACATCTGCATGTCTTAAATGCCAATCTTCCCCCTATAATCCTGCCCTTGTTCCCTCCTCAGGAAACTGTGCAAAAGCAAAAACAAACAAACA